TTTATTTGCATTACAATTGAATATTGAATGACTAATTCTTGTTCTAATCGAGTTTAAAAGTTTGATTGCTAATTAGCGAATTTATTTATTGCAGCGATGTAGGTTTTTGGTGCTCGAAAAATGGAAAAATAAATGAACATTAACAAATACAAATAATCTGTTTTTTAATGTTTTCGAAAACATTGAATCAGAACATTCAGTCGAATTTTGAAGAATCAATTTGAATTAAGCAGTTAAGTGCCTTGCTGGTCGAATAGGTAAGGCGCTTGGCTCAAATTTGGGATGGTAACTCTAAGGTCGTCGGTTCGAATCCAGCCATTTCCAAATTTGTTCTTTTTCGGAAGTTTAGATACTTCGACTGCTTAATGTACGAGATCAAGCCATAATTGGGCATTTGGGCAACGTTGGATTAAGGAACGGGTCAGGAACTTGAAGTGTAGCGGGAGAAATAGGAACGAGAGCTACAAGATTACCCACAAATGGAATATTGTTAGAACGGACCTGAAAAGTATCACGTCACGCCTACAGAAGATCGAAACGAGAGCCTTAGTTTATTTGAAACCTAGATATGAAGATTAGAAGTTTGATCCTACATAATATTAATTCATATGTATACGAATACAAAAGTGTAAAATGTGAATTATTACCGGACAGTATGTCGTCAATAAATGCAATAAAGAATAATCAAGTCATTCAGTGTCCAGCATTTGTAATGACAAGAGACATTCTCTATAAACATGTTAAAGATGCCGAATGTCAATTATTTCACAGATGTCATACATTCCATTTTAAGCACTAAGTAGCATTAAAATAAAACAAGAGTTCAAATTTTATACTTTTACATTTTTTCATGCAAAATATTAGGGGTCATTCACTTATGACGTCATTAAAAACACGATTTTAGACCCCCCTCCTCCTACGTCACAAAAAATTTCCCCCCCCCCCCCCTCCGTGGTGTAAAACATTGATTTCCTTGTTGCAAAATTGGATGTCACAAATTTCCTGACCTCCCCTCCCTTCCCATGTTTCAATTACCACAAAATCCTAGACACCTCCCCCCTCCCTTAATCTCGGACGTTATAAGTGAACGACTCCTTATCAGAGTAACGAGATTTAGTATATGATAGTTAATTTGGTCCGCAAAATATTTTCAACGTAGCTAAGCATGTCATTAATTTTTTTTTTGGAACGTATTTATATCAAACCCTTTTAATAATAAATTTTGTGAAAACTTGAACTAGACAATTTTAAAGTATGAAATAAAAAATAATCTACTAAAGATGGAGTAACTTAATTAAGACAAAGTAATAAAAATCCCCAACCCTATGCATGGATTAATTCAAAACAAAACTAGCTATTTGCTTTTGAATTTCACATCATTACTTAAACCAACATGCAAAATACGGTCAATTTAAATTATTTTTCATTCCTAACCGTCAATGAAACGACGTAAGCGAATGCTGGAAATTTATAACTTTATTTGCATTACAATTGAATATTAAATGACTAATTCTTGTTCTAATCGAGTTTAAAAGTTTTCGATGTTAATTAGGGAATTTATTTATTGCAGCAATTTTAATTCTTGTGCTTGGAAAAATGAGATTTTTTGTAAATGCAGTCAGGTGACATGTTCTGTCTTTTGTAAGGAGCCAGGCTGATTTTGATAGTTTTGTGACAACTTTATTTACTTGGCTTTATTAACGCTTAACTGAAATTCATCTAGTCCCATAGAATTCACTCCCGTCCTTCTCCCAATATCAAAGTCTCTAACCGAAAGTCACAAACTCAATTCCTAAAGTCAAACAATCTTAAAAATCCAATCAAATTAAAATTTCTCAGTTCCTAATTTATGTAAAGTCGTCCAATAAATTTAAAATACAACAAATAATAAATTCATTTAAATATTCAAGCTGAAAATAATTATAATTTATTGATATGTTCACAAATAAATCACATGGAGCCAAGAATTGCTTGCGCACCCCCTTCAAGTGTGCCTATTTCTTTCACTCACAGGCATTTCTTGAATCATATGACAAAATAAAATTGTTTCAACATTTTGAACTATATAACTCAGAAGAAAAATTGGCTCATATGCCGTGGAACATTTATGGATCGACCACAACTCTTTGTGGCATTAATTGAATTATAATCAAATGAAATCAACGGTCTTAATTGCCCATATATGAATCTGAGCCGGTAAAATAATTTCACACATGCAATATATCATGTTTTTGCTTAATTCTTTATTTATTTTTTTATTTCACCCAAACAGCACTGTCCACTACCTAAATGTCTTAATGTTTGAGCTTACATTGCATGCAATTTTAATTTTGTTGGATATACAAAATATTATTTTAATTGAGAAAAACATATTGAGTAGTAATATGTGTAATCAAACAAGGTAGACATTTGTTGGGAGGAGATACATTTAGTGAGTCAAGAGAACTGCTATGCTGCTGTGTGTTGGATTGTGTTTTTTGTAAAAAAATTAATTTTTGCTTAAATTTGATTTCATTTTCTTATTTAATTTCGTGATGAGAAGGGAGGATTCAAATTATTTTGATACACATTTTAATTAGAGCAACTGTTGCCTTAGAGCCCTTTGGTCTCAATAGTACATGAAACAAATCACACAGAACCCTAATTTTACAAACTGAAAGCATCATCAACTAAGTTTAAAATTCATCATAGCAGTAAAATCGTAATTAATTCATTCCTGAAGTTAGACAGCGATAAAAAAATATATTTGAGACGTCTATTGATTGGTGCCGCACAGTCGACACACAATCGCCGTCGAAATTTTCATGCCGCCATCATAAACTCATAAAGCTATTTCTAGCTAATTCCTTTAAATAAATATACATTTTTGCTATAATATTCATTGGAATGTTCATAATTTCATTAATTAAGTCGCTAACAGTTATTGTCGGATGATCAAGTAGGTGCGATCAATTTCTATTAATTTATATTCAATAAGTGAAGAAGCTAGTTTGAAATCTGTACTTGAAGGCTGAAGGAAGCGCATGAATTGGTTTGCTATGTAGTATCTTGTGCACTAGCTCTTTTTGGAAGCCCCACAACTGCATCTTACTTTTCTTTCAATTCCCTCTCATTCTTTTAAGTTTAAGTGATGTAAGATTGTTGTAATGCAGCATTCTTATTAATAAAGTTTAATGGTAGAACCCAGAGCTGGTTGTTTTAGAGAAATCGTAGCCAGAATAGCACAAGTCGGTTAATCTATCAAAAATCTGGCACCAACCTAGCGAGTCTCTGACATGGCACCGGATTTAAATCGAATCCGGCATCATTTCAAAGTCATGCCGGTTTGATGCTGGATTTCTGATCCAATAAACGACTTGTACGATTTTGGTAGTTTATATCTTGTTAATTGGTAAGTATGGTAAGGGCAGAGCTCGAAGTCCATGTACTCGAAGTCCGAGTCGACTCCGCCATACATGATCGAGGAAAATCTCGAGTCGTCTTCGAGCTCTGGATTAGGGTATACTTAATAAACCTACTATTGAATTCGTTGGTGATGTTGCAAAACTGTGTGTCAGTTTCTTGAGCTTCCCGGAGCACACTTAAGGTAGGAATGAAATTCTAAAGACTAAAAATAAGAAGCATTATCATATTTATCTAACACCAAAAAAGAATGTCCAAGAAAGCCCTAGAAACCAGTTCCTGTTATTGAAAACAGAGCTATCGCGTAGTAGGAACAAAATTAAATAAATCTACATTTACTTGAAAACTAAACTGACCAATGAGAGACGTACAGATTAGATTGATAGACGAACCAACCAACAAACAGTCAGACTGATAGATAGACAGGAGAAATAGCATTCAAGAGATAGACAGACAGGAAAATAAACAAAATGCAAACAATAGCAACTTTTACTTCTGTAAAAATGTTTGGAATTGAAAAAATTTAAATTACCGTCAATTAACGAAAAGTTAATTAAACTGCATCAATATGTGCATTTTTTTCATCAGTGCAAAAAGGGAGAAAAACCTCAAAGTACACACATGTTGAGAGCGAGAACTGTGCTGCATCAAAAAGACTTTTTTTTTCTCTCTCTCTTTCGTCTCCGTATTTCTATATTTCTCCGGCACAACAGCACGATCGCAACTCACTTGTTTGAAAACATTGAAACGATTAACATCTCTTTGCAGGATTCTCTCTTAAAAAAATAAAAGCTAGTGATCGTTCAATTATATCATTTGAGATTAACTTTGCAAAGGATTTAACAATTCCTTGTTGAAATAAAATCGCTTTTTTTGGAAATTTTGCTGTGATCGAAAAAAAAATACGTGACAAAAAAAGTTGAGAAATAAATCAGCTGCACGAGGAACAGAATGTATAGCTGTGTGTAGTGTGGTGTTAAAAAAATGTTTGGAATTAATTTAGAGTATAATTAATTAATTAGAGTCAAGATTCGTATTTTTAAATAAAAAGATTAATATTAATTGGAATTTAATTAACAAAAAATTGTTAAGACACTGATTTTTGTAAAGCCAATTAACACAGGTGATTCGCAGAAAGAAGCAGACAAATTTTAAAAAATTTGAGAAATTTAAATTTAAATTTTGTGAATAAATGTGAATGGGTTTTTGAAAAAATCAAGAAAATTGCAAAAAGTTAAAAAAACAAAAAAATCAAATTGATAGAAAAATTAAATTTGTGAATTAAAGATTTTTTGATTTAAAATACAAATTTTTTTAAAAAAAATTCTTGTTAAAAATCACAACAAAAAACTAAATTGTGAAATAATAAAACAGCATAAAAAGTGATCAAAACCAGACCACTCGAACCAAAAATGTGGACCCTAAAAGTGCATGAAACCACAAAATCAAAGAATAACAATTTAAATCTATAATTTTAAAAATCTTAAAACTTAAAAACCCGCAAAAAAAAAACTAGGAAACAAAAAATAATCTTCATAAAAAATGGATATAAAACAATATTGACAGCAAAATTCAAAGAAGACAAAAAGAGAGATCTTAAGACATCAAAAGCAGCACCAACAGTTGAAAAAAGAAGTCAACAAGCAAAAAAAAAAGAGTCACAAAATAATTTCCATCAAAAATAAGTAAAGCTTTTGTCGTCAATACGTCCAAGCAATACGCAAATCAATAATTGAACGAAACAACAAATTTGGATTAGTCAACAAAAACTGAAGGTGGGTATCATACTAGTGCCGTGTAGATATAGATATGTGAATATAAGTAATTTTTTTTTTGTTTCGTGTGACCATAAAAACAAGAGTCGTCACTTCCACCCAAAAACAAATGCAAACACACAGATTTCTTTATTATTTCTTTTATAAATCTTATAAGTTTGTGCTGTGGATGTTTTGTTTGTGGATATTAAGTGTGACTTGGTGCAGTTTGTCTTATTTAACTTGAATAATTCAGCCTCAGTTTGGGTAAAATGTCCTTAATCTAATCAGGTTGAGTTGAATCTGATCACAACGAGTTGAGTCAATTCAGAACTAGATTAGCTAAAATTCAACAGGTTAACCCGAGTAGCACAAGACGGATAATGATTTGTCCTAACGTCCGACTTGTGCTACTTGGTTAAATGTATTAGATCAAGTCAAATTGAGTCATAATGAGTAAGTCTTACTCAGAATATTTCGAAAAGAGTCAAAGGAAGCTGAATCAAGGAAGAATAGATCAAATTAGGTTTAATCAGGCTTAAGTAAATCATAATAGATCATGTCAAATCGAAATCAATGTAATAGAGTTCAAAGTAGATGGATGTAGCTAGAATTAATCAATTAAGTTAAAATTAACCAAGTCAACGCTGGTCAAAGCTAAAAAAAGCAAGCCAAAGCAAGCCAAAGCTAGTCAAAGCTAGTAAAGCTAGTCGAGTTGACGTAAGAGTAGTTAAATCAAATCGAAATAAGCCAGGTAGAGTCTGATTAAGTCTTTAATTGAGAAAATAAGCAAGATTGAATTAAAGTCTATGGAACATCATTGAAATATGTTTTATTTTATAAAAATCTGTCAACTAGAGTTTCATTCTAGCCATAATAGATCAAATTAAAATCTAATAAGTTCCATATTTAGTCAAAGTTGATGTCTATTACAAACTATTTGATTATTTATTAGATTGTAGCTCTATTCTCCATCAAAACCACATCAATGTCCATAAAAAAATGCGCTTAAACCACAAAACTCTATCTCCTACTTACCTTTTGTTTCTGTGATTCAATCGCCACCATGTCTGAGTTTAAGTGGGCTTTTTTGCGCCGCGTTCTAGTCATTCACTCGCTATTGCTCCCCTTATCACACATCTTCATATATTTATTATACACATATTCATTCAGCTCTCTAACTAAGCGTTGGTATTTATATTTCCATTTATTTCTCTTTACTTTATTGAATTTATTATTTGTTATGCGATTAATCTCCTGATCTGTTGTCCATCTGGAAATGATTCAATGATCATTTGTAGCGTTTGTCGATTGGTCATGTGAATCTTCTGGGAATCGTCATTTTTTGATATTTTGGCATTCAGGCTGAGCTTTATAACAAAAAAAAAAAAATTGTATAAATTTTTCAAAATTGGCAAGAGATTTGCGGCAAAATGACCTTAAATGGTTTAGTTCTAATAATTTTTTTTGTTGTTGCGATAATTCCATTTGATTGTATGTTGTGGAGACTAGTCGTAATGATTTATTGCCGAGATTAGAGCAATGAATGAATGATGATGAAGTAGAGTCGGCATGTATATACATCTAAATGTACACATGGCAAAAAGGCAGGCATAAAAGTTTAAAGAATGAAAATAAAGTGTGAGAAGCTAGTGATGCAATTTTCGTACTTTTTGTTATGAATGAGAATTATCAGTAATTTGTAAGTTTAGTTCTATCAGACATCCTTGGATGAATTATTGAGTAAATGCTTAGTTTGCAGTTTTTTGAAAGGTAGGAATGATTTGTGGGCTGGTTTTTGGCTGTAATAAATCGATAATCGTCATTTAGAATACCACAGATCAAAGTTTCAATCCAAAAGTCCAAAAAACTTGCAATCTCCTCTCAAAAATCAATTCCCAATGACTCATTCTCAATTCAACTTCACGGCACATCTAACTTTCATCTCCTTCCATCTGAATGGATATAAAAAAAACATTTTCATTATAAATTGATATTTATTTCCATCCAAAAAATCTACAATCAACTGGAACTAATTTGCACAACAGCTTCGAACACTTGAATTAAGATATTGTCGATTTTCTGAATTGAATGAAGGAATTATGTGAAAAAAAAATCATGAATTTTTTGATCACAATTTTTATTGAGGCTATTTTAGTAATTTATGCGAATTTAGCTAGTCAACGATAAGCATATGGCATGACTAACTTAATGACTATGATGATCTACACACGTCCAGGTCATAGTCGGATGTACGGCGATCTTAAAACAGATTGTAAAGGAGCTATAAAAAAAATTCATAGCATTTGTCTAGAAATGAGGGTGCCACTTGGTGTCGTTAAGTTTATTTGAATATTGTCTGCATAGTTTTAGTGAGTCATGAAGTAATTGAGTTATCATTTTGAGGGACCGAGAGGAAATTGGGGATCAGGTGTGATGTTGATGAATGAAGCAGCTAGAATTTTGGAAGAATTGAACATTTTAGTGGTTACTTTAGTTGTAGGAACTCGTGGAGACTCTTAAAGACTCTTTGAACTCATGTGGACCCTTACAGAACCCATGTAGACCTATTCAGAAAAATGCAGATCCATTTAGACCTATGTTGACACAAATATACTAATGGCAACTCTTATAGGCTTTTATTAACCCAATAGCAAAGCAAAACAAGAAGAATCAAGGCAATGATCACTCAACAGAACTTAAATATGGTTCTAAGACTTGAAAAACATTAAAATACTCCCGCTTTAGCCCCACTCGAGTGGGATGCACTCCATGCTTAATCAAAGTAACACTGAATGCGCTCAATACCGACGACAAAAATGTCTCCCCACAACTCAGAACTACTAAAAGCGATTCTCAATTGGCAGACATGATTTTCCACTTGCTGCAACACTCAACATTAAAATTAATCAAAACCAATGCACACAATCTTAATTATTTTATTGCTCTTATCTCTCCCTCTCTGTCTTTCCTTTTCAATCTTTCCTTTATGTTTAAAAAATAATAGCATTTTATGAGGCAAATGTAAGAATTTATGGGATTTTAATTAAAGCCTTTTGAATTTTTTTTATTTATTTTTTTTTGTTTTTATTTCTCAGTTACTTGCCGCGAGTATGTAGACGCAAGATTTTTTTTTCTTTCTTGTTTCAAAGATCTGAAAAAAGAGAGTTTTTTGCAAAAAAAAACACTTGAGAAGAAGAAAAAATAGAATTTTCATTCTGGAACTTCATCGAGGTTTTTTTACTCATCTTTGTAAATTGACTGCTTCACTGACGCCACTTTGATTTAATTTTTATTACATTCGGCCTTTTTTTTCGCTTGAGAAATGAGCGATTAGTGGAAATAATGCTTCAAAATCTTCTTTTTCAAGAGATTTTATTTTTTGTTGTTTGTAAGAAAGGCGGGACAGTGTGTGTGTATGTACGGGATTTTAAAGAGGGACTTAAATTAATTTAAATTGATATCGACATTTAATGGTTGTTTAACAAAACAGAGAGAAAAAAAATGAAATTAAATTTCTGGTCTCGTTCTAATGTTTGTTTTAACGGATTAATTTTTGTTTTGTTGGATTTATGGTCATTTTTGTGGATGTTTGGGATTAGAGGTGCTTGATGAGGCCAACTTTTGTGTTGTTTTAATTAATTTGAGATTAGATTTGATGCTATTGGGGATTTCTTTTGGATTTAATTGGATATTTAGAGAATTTTGGCGCCTGGAAAGCGTTTGAGGCTGTTTACCTGAAAAGTCGTTGATTTTTTGGATAATAGCTTTGCGATTAGATTGTCTTGAACTGATTTCGGAATATTAGAATTGAGAGATCAGCCTAAAGTGGGAATCAAACCCATTGTTTTCAAAAGAAGATTTAAGATATCTGATCTATTGCTTGACTCACCCACAGCGGCCTGACTAACGTACTGACAGATCACTCTACATATAGATCGATCGTCCTAAATCTGTAATTTCCTAAACCCTGCTGGAACCTCATAATCCTTCCAAAATTCAAACACCTTTTCAATCACACATTGTAGACATTTTTGCATTCTTTTCTCCCAACTTTCAGTAAACTGACAATAACAAGTATCCACATCATGTCATTGAATTCAATTTAAAATCTGCACTCATTTAATCTGCACAAACAGATCGTGATTGACTGTAATTGAATCATTTTACAATGTAAAAAAATTTACTTTACCGTCATGTTTTCATTAATCTCTCCCCCTTTTTTTATGCATTTCAATTGTTCAATAATAATAATAAAGTCGCTGTCTCGGTATGTACTTTAGAGGCTCCAGATGGATTTGGGTTGGGGAGAATTGAGAATTATTTTTTTGCAGGGAGCCAAGATATTTTTTTTTGTCTGGACAGAAGTTATGTCGAAGGTTATGAATGAGTTTTAATTTGCATATTTTAATGAGGAATGTGGAATTGATGTTTGATGGAAGGAGCACCTTTAAAGGGGTGTTTTGTGAGTTCTAGATGTAAACTTGTAACCATTAAGTATACGATTATTTAATTTGACTAGTTATAGGTTCATATATCCTTCATAAGTACCTCAAACATCCACAAAAGTCCTAAAGAGCTTCTAAGAAAAATTCTGAGTATCAAAGCCTTGCATTTGGATTTCAAAAGCCCCTAGACATCTCCCATATTACATACAATTTTCTGCCTCTGAATCATTTCATCCCGAGGCGAGACAAGTAAATTGAATCTGATTGCCATGATGCACTTCCGATTTTTTTATATATATTTCATGTCTATGGTCTAAATGGATCTAATTCACTGAACACAAATGGATATATTACTTTGTTAATCAATCTCTTTTTATGGCCACTTCCGTATATCCTACTTTATAACGTTCAACATGCATGCATGCAACTTTAATATTTTAATGGCACAAAACAAATGAAAAGTCATTAGTTTTTCGGTACTCTGCAGCGAGTATCGCCCACAACAAACCGCAATCAAAGAGAAATCGGATTCAGGTCACTGTCGTTTTCAATTTGAGCAAAACACAGCACGGT